GGCGGCAGCTATGGCAGCTGGCGGGCCAGGCCCCCCAGAGCAGCCCCGATCCCATGGATACCGAGATGGACGACCCGCAGCGGGGTGCGTGGGCTATGACCAACATGGAAAAGGCATGCTTGGAGTTCTGTATTGAGTTACTAAACCAGCGCCATCGCAGCCATGAATATGAGAGTGCATTGGTATGTGCCATGGCTGTGTTAGGCCAGGGGGAAACCGGCTGGCGGGACCCCGAGAGTTATCCACCGATATTATCCAAGGTCATCAAGATCGCACGGTTCATGGTGGTCCAGAAGGCATTATGGATGGATCCACACCCGTGGCAGATCATCCAGACGTGGGAGAAGAAGGACCAGAGCGCTGAATGGGTGTTAGCCAGCGCAGATGACATATTAGGGGACATTGATGAGGGGTATGATAGTGATGACGCCATCGCAACCTAATCATCACCCCCCACGTCATCCATCCAGAGTGACGACCTGTTACCCGCCATGGACATGCACCGGCACAGCCGTTGACCATTCCAGGAGTAGGTGACATGGATGATGCACCAGTTTATGATTCGCAGCACCCATGGCCCCATAGAAACATTGCTGGATTGGCGCACATATGGGCTTAAGGTCCATTATAATCACACTGCCCCCGGCCATGTGACATGGATGGGGGAGGACTAGTTATTATACCAGCAGATGGCATTCACTATGGGTGATTTCCAGGGGTTCATCCATGGGTTAGTGACTGTGGCTAGGGAGATACTAGGCCATTTATGCATGCAGGATCATGCCTAGATGCCCCCCATTCCATGGTCAGTAATATATGATGATCCCAGCCAGAGCCAGGCCGGGTGGAACTTTTTACAGGACGCACGGACCCAGTGGCCGGTGGATGGGACCCACTGGATGATCGACCGGCTGCGGGCCGAGCCGGCCATGCAGCGGCATTTCATGCGAGGGGGCCGATTCCACCCCGCGGCCATCCAGCAGTATTGGCAGCGCGTGGCCCAGTTCAAGGAGAAGTTAGCCATCATAGTGCATGTCACCGCGGGGCAGCCGGCGCGGGCCCCAGAGTTATTAAGTATTCAGCACTGCAACACCGCGAATAGTAGGCGGCGTAATATATATATTGAGGATGGGATGGTGACATTCGTGACGGCATATCACAAGGGGTTCCACGCCAGCAATGATGTCAAGATTATCCATCGATATGTGCCGCGGGAGGTCGGGGAGTTGGTGGTGTGGTATATGTGGTTGGTGTTGCTGTTTATAGAGCAGTTAGCTGCATGGGAGGCAGCGCAGGCAGCGCAGGCAGCGGCATCACAGACGAACCAGACGAACCAGAGCAACCAGAGCAACCAGAGCAACCAGAGCAACCAGACATCCCAGAGTAGGACCGTCGCCCACACGGCATGGTTATGGGGCCCCGATCCAGGCACCGGCCGTGAAAGGTCATCCGAGCGGTTCCGGGAGGCATTGAAACGGGAAACACGCACCTGATTAGGGACTGCCATCCACATTGCAGCATATCGGGACATCGCCATTGGCATCAGCTGCTGGTTTTTACATCTGTCCACTGCATTTCCAAATAATGTGCAAGAGGCCAACCACATACCAGCAGCCATGGATGCAGATGCTGAGGAGTTTATGGATGATGAGCAGTGGATTGGCCACATTGCTGACTTGCAGGCCGCCCATTCATCACATGTCGCAGGGATGGTGTATGGTCGAAGTATCCATGAACAAGCTGGCAGCACCAACCACCGGCGCGAGATGTTCCGGTTATCCAGCACCAACTGGCATCAGTTTTTGGGGTTTGCATCCGCAGCCACTGCACCATCAATATTAGGCAAGCGCAAACAAGCGCCATGGGAGGATGAAGCTGAGGTCAGTCGCATTGAGCGCCGCCACCAGCTGGCCACCATGGATATGGAAGCAGCCGCGCAGCGAATGACCGGGCAGCCCACCATGCGGTTCCGGGGGGTGCAGGACCCGGCCATTCAGGCCATCCAGCGAGGGGAGAGCCCCATGGTGGCGGTGATGCCCACAGGCGGTGGCAAGAGCATGTTGTTCATGGTGCCAGCATTCGCCGCCCCCGGAGGCACCACCATCGTCGTGGTCCCACTGGTTGCATTACAGGCCGATATGCAGCGCCGGTGCCAGCAGCTGGGGATTTCATGTGTTGCATGGGAGAGCCGGCGGCCCCCGGATGCCGCGTTGATCGTGTTGGTGACGCCCGAATCCGCGGTCAGCCCCGATTTCCAGACGTTTTTGAACCGGTTGCGGTGGATGCGGCGGTTGGACCGCATCGTGATCAATGAATGCCATGTGGTGTTGAATTCCTAGCGTGATTTCCGACCCTAGATGGCCTAGTTAGGGAAATTAGTGCAGGCACGTACCCAGACGGTATGGTTGACCGCCACATTGCCCCCGAGCATGGAGGATGAGTTATGCCGGCGGATGAAGCATGATCGGACCGCCGTGACTATTTACCGGGCCCAGACGAGCCGTCCGAACGTGGCATACCGGGTATGGCGCCCCGTGTTAATGGGGGTCGGCCGGGGTCCATACCAGTGGATTGAGAGTGAGGCCGTGGTGGCATTCATTCAGGACCGTATTCAACGGGCGGCCGGTGGCAAGGTGATCATATATGCGAATATCATTGGGCAGGTGACAGCCATGACGCGGGTATTAGGGTGTGAGGCGTATTATAGCGACCAGCTGGACAAGGCTGGGGTGTTAGACTGATTCATGGGAGGTAGTCCAGTCATCGCAGCCATGAGCGCATTAGGGATGGGGGTTGACATCCCTAATATCCGTAGCATCATCCACATTGGCACACCGCGGACATTGTTAGATTATGCACAAGAAAGTGGTCGAGCAGGACGGGATGGCCAGCGGAGCGAGGCGATCATTATTCAGCCGGCTGGGTGGGACGCGCCAGCGCCGTGGATGGAGGGGGTATCGCCAGAGGATCAGGAACGAGTCGCAGATTATATGGGGGTGGTGGAAGGGGTTGGGTGTCGCCGGGTGGTGTTAGATCGGTATTTGGACGGGGTGGTAGATGGGTACCAGCGTCAGCATTGCCAGGATCAGGATGGGGCCGAGCAGGTGTGTGACGGGTGTGACCCCGATTGGGAGGGGCGGGAGGTGGATCCACCCGGGGTCGGCCGCAGCCAGGTGCCGCGTGAGGCCGGCAGCATGATCCAGAGGGATGCAAGCCCAGAGGCCCCGTGCGAG